ATGTGACATTAAGATAGGAGTCATCAATGACAGCTAAGGTTTGTCAGTATAAGTTTGCAGAGGAAAAGGAAGTTTTGTAATACCGAGAAAATAGTAATTTATTACAAACGATAAAATGGTAAATTTAAGGCAGAGAGCCTTGGAAGGTACCAACCCACCAAGGTCAAGGTTAATGGGGAACACACTGAACAACAGTGCCCGCTGACGTTGAAGCCCTGGGAAGAACACGGCTTTATTTTGATGGCATTCCTGCCAAGAGTGTATGACCCGAGTCTGACTATGAGGAAACATCATATGGACCCAGGTAGAGCTGATTATTTTACAGAATATAAAGTCTGTATTTTTAAAAAGTGTCAAGGACATAGAAGGCAGGGACAGGCTGAGGAATACTTCCAGACTGAATGTGTCCGAAGAAACCTGATAGCTAAAAACGACACATATTCCTAGACAGGATTCCAAACCAGAAAAGAAAAAAGAATCATTGTTGGTGCACTTGGAACAACTTGAACGAGGCTTGTGGACTGAACAGTAGTGTTGTGCAGTGCTGATTTCCTGATCTGGAGAGCTGTGTGCGGATTATGTAGAAAGAATGCACTGGAATGTTTAGGGCTGAAGAGCACCATGTCTACAGCTTGCTCTCGGAAGGTTCTAAGAAGACTAATGCGTGTATGAGTGTGTGTGTCTGTAAAGTGGGAGTAGAGGAGGAAGAGAGAGGATAAAGAAGTATGGTAAAACGTTAAGAATTGAAGAATCTAGGTGAAGGGGATATGGGAATTCTTCGTTCTCTTCTGCTAACATTTTTTGTAGATTTGAAATTATTTCAAAATAAATTATTATTTAAAAGTGATATGCATTCTTCAAGCAAAGACCAGCTTAAATGATACTAATTTCACCAAGCAAATATTGTCAATATTTTAGGCCTTAGTGGACAATGAAATTGAATTTGAAGGCAACACATATTAATAGCACATTTGTGTATGCCACTTGAACCCATTTTCCAAGTTGCAGGTAAGGTTGCCAGTTTCTATTGGAGCCTGGGGTAAGATGCGTAGTGATGGGCTCATGCCCATAGAATTAGCTCATCTTCTCATATAACCCATCACCCAGCAGTGGCTGGCCTAACAGAAAGGTAAAATAGCTTACTGAAGATCCAGTTACGACGGTTGAGAAACAAATCCATGAAGGGATGTGGTTCTGTGTCACCGGATGCAATATGTACTTTGAAACTGTATCTGGTGTATTTCTCCTACAGCCATAGGTCCAGGAATCAAGGAGTAGAGTCGGAAGAGGTGGTTCCTCTCACTATCACAGCTAATAATAACACACGCCCAAAATTATTGCTTCCTGTCTCAGCAACTTATGATCTGCTGGTTTGGAGGTTTTGTTTCCCAAGGGGAGAATGCTTCCACCGGAAAACACAACAGTGATCCCATTGGACTAGATGAGACTGGTGCCTGGCCACTTTGGGATCCTTCTGCCACCGAAAGAGAGGCAGGAAAGGGGGCCGTTCTACTGGCTGAAGTGACTGACTCTGATTTCCAAGGGGCGAGCTGGTTGTTGGTACACAACGGAGTCAATGAGGACTGCTTCTGGAACCCAGAGGATTATCTGGGGTGCCTCTGAGTGTTTCCTTGCCCAATTGTGAAGATTAATGGAAAAATACAGCAACCAAAAAAAGACAGAACTTTGAGAACTCAGGACCTTCAGGAAAGAAGATCTGGCTCTCCCAGCTAGGTCAAGAACGTTGGCCTACCTGTGCCTTTCAGCAAGGTTCTTGGTTCTGGGCAAGGCTTCCCTGTGCCCTAGCTCTGGCTGTGCCCTCTGGAAAATCTCTCTGTCACCAGCAGGCTGCAAATTTCAGTGGCTGCCATGTTCTCCAAAGAGGTCTTAATCTCAGCCTTTAGGCGTGGGTCTTCTAAATGCTTAGTTCCTTCCTGTTTACTCTTCCTCAAACCTAGAGGTCACAGCTGCATTCTGCATTTGCTGTCACTAGCCTTCTTGTACTACCTCATCACATTTTACTGGTTAAAAATCTTTCTTAATATTCAAGAAGCAATAGGAAATATTCCCTGGTCAAATTACTAGTGAGGTTTCTGTTCCTGTCTGGACTCTGGGTGCAACATCAACCTAGTAAATACAGGCAGCCACCTGAACTTTCGCTGTTTGCGTACAGTCCACACTGCTGCACATCCAACAGACCTCAGTGATTCATCCTTCCAGGCTAGAAATGCAATCCTGCACCCTCCCCGGTGCTAAGTGGCTCCTTTTTACTATTCAACCACGTTTTTCATTAAGCTCAAACATGTATGTTCTTTCGTTCCTTCTCATTTTAAGCAAAAGACCTATTGTGGGTGGTAGGTTTATGGAGTGTGGATAGTTTTTATTATCACTATATATATTTTCTGGATATGATTAAGAAATTTGAAATCATGTTTCCAGTTATTCCTCCTGGTGCCGTAATGTTATAATTACACAACATGAGATTTTAAAATCGGGTCCAATAATTTTATAGAAACCTCCTCCAGGATATCTAAAAATAATATTAGTGCCAATTTATTGAGTGCTTAATTTGTCCCATATGCTTCAAGATACATACATTAACACATACATTCCTCCCTCCAGTAATCCTTCCAACGATCTTAGAAGAGAGATACTAACTTTTTTGTTTTGAAAATGTGGAAACTGAGGTTCAAAGAGAGTAAATAACTCATCTAAAATCGTAAGCCTAAAGTGGCAGTTTCCTCGTCTGAACCCCTAGTGAGGACAGGCCATGACCCTGAGGTCCTTCTAGACCTAACTTTTTGTGCAACTGATTCAGAAAGATCTGCCTCATTCAGAACCTAAGTGAAATATGAAGATTCATTCTTGAGCTTCCCTTCAAATTCCAAATGTCTCTAATTTTAGATAACAACCCAGCTGCCTAGAATGGAAACCCACATCACAACAAATTAGCTAAGTGGTTCCTACACATTCCTTATTTATAATCTCAGCAATTCTATCTCTGAATAATAGGTCGGTTGTTATGCATAGAGCAGTCTTGGGAAGACAGCAATTATGTTTTTTAATAAATTAGATACAAAATTAACATGTTCATTTATTACAGGAAATAAACCTATAAATATTTATTAATGGAATGGAATGGAATGACACTTCTCACTGGGTCCTAGAATAGTCCATCCTAACAAATGCTCATTAATAAATTTGTCAATGAAGATGGCATTAGGTGTGCTAAACTTTCACTGTGATGTATTACTCAGTGTTAAATAGGAAAAATGTTGTTTCATATTTTTCCTCTTCAAAGAACACCCAACTTGGACGTGCCCCATGGCTCACAGACCTCTCCTATACGTACACTCACGTCTGGAAGATCTCTCCGAGTCTCACAGCTTAAGACGCCATCTTTGTGTCAGTTCCTCCCAGACAGATATAGCCAAGCTGGACCTCTCTGTGAACTTCAGACTCATATAACCAACTACCTACTTACCAGTCTAAATGGATGTCTAATAGTCACTGCTTACGTATCATGTCCGAAAGTGAGCTTGTCTCATTATTGTCCCCATCCCAGTAAATGGCAACTCCATTCTACCAGTTAATCGGGTCAAAAAAAACCTTGGTATCTTTCCTACTCCATGCCAGTTCCACAGCAAATCCAATCAGCCCTGCCTCTGACACATGTAGAATGTGACCACGTCTCTCAGTATCCCTGACGATCCCCCACGATCATCTTTCACGAGGAACGTTGTACTAGTCTCCTATCTGGTTTCCCTGTTTCTGCCCTTGTCCTCATTATAGTCTATCATCAAAACAGCTGTTAGAGTAATCCTGTTGATCAGATCATGTCACTGGTCTATCCCAATCCCCTCACGGCTTCCCATCTCAAAGTCAAAGCTGAAGTCCTTACAGTGATCTAAGGTCCCCCACCATCGGGTGCCAATCCCCTTCCCTCGGTCCTCATCTCTGCTACCCCCCACTCTCTCTGCTCCAGCCACGCTGGCCACCTTGACGTTCCCGGCACATCCAGGCCCCCTCCTTCCCACTTCCTGTTCTCTCTGCCTGGAATATTGGTCCTTTAATATAAATTCTATGTGGCAACCCCCTCAAGCCTGCAGATCTTCACCTCAATGTCATCTTCTCAGCAAAGCCTTCCCGGGTCACCCTATCTGAAATCACGACCACCCTCCCCACTTCCCCCCCCAACACACACGCGCTCCTCTGCCCCCTCTCTGCTTTAGGTTTCTTCCTTAGCACTTAACCACTATCTAACTTATTATATAGTTTTTTTATCCCGTTGATCATCGATTCCTGACTAGAATGTAAACTTCACAAAGCCTGGGCTTTAGTCTGTAGACTGCTGCCTCCCCAGCGCCTGATTCTGCCATGGTCAGGCCTTAATCCCAGGAGTTTGGTTAGTACTTGAGCCTCTCCCACTCACACGCCACCAACCCGGTCCCCCTAACACTTTGGATGAAGAGGAATTAACATGGGTATCAGTGGTCCTTTGTTCAGTCAACGTGCATTAACTGAGCACCTGGCACCATCAGTCTGCCCTGTGAGGCTGGCTGGTGTGTTTCATGGGGAGCTACTCCCCCATGGCATGCCAAAGAATCCAGGGCAGGAAGCCATGCCTATCTGTAAACACTAGAACAGCATCGACACAGTGCGCCTCTGGTGTTTGCCATGCACTGCCTCTGATGTGTGCTTTTCACAACTGCCACGAAATCAGATCCTGTGTGTACACTGACCCATTTTATTTTATTTTTTTGTAGAGCTGGGGTCTTGCTATGTTGCACAGGCTGATCTCAAATTCCTGGGCTCAAGCAATCCTCCCACTTTAGCCTCCCAAAGTGTTGGGATTACAGGCCTGAGCCACCATGCCTGGCCACCTGACCCATTTTAACAAATGTACCCATTGAATACACTTAAGCTGAGGAAGCCAAGCTTGGCAGCCCTGTCCCAACGCTGGGCTAGCACAGCTGTGGTCCTTTCTTGTCACCCTGGAGGTGACTTGCCCCTAAGCCAGCCCACCTGGCACCATGAGGACTGCCTTATGGAACTGTGAGTACTCCCATAGCTGCTAAGCTAGTGCCTGGCTACCTACTGATTTCAAATGGTTTTCAGAAAGACAAATACATTTTCCCAGAAACATCAGCTCTACATTATCCAAATAAACAAAACTAGAGCACAGGGGGCAAAGAAGGATTATGAAGGGGAGGAACTATAAACAAGGCTAGAGGAATAACAAGTAAGTATATTGGCAAACATATGCTATCGCTATGATCTGAGTGTTTGTGTCCCCCAAAATTCACATTGAAATCCTAATCCCCAAAGTGACGGTGTATTAGCAGGTGGGGCCTTTACAGGGGATTAGGTCACGAGGGTGGAGTCCTCAAGAATGAGTTGTGTGTGTGCCCTTATACTAGCAGGATTGGGATGTGGGATGAAGAAATTGGGGGAGTTGGGGGAAGCTCCCTTGCCCCTTCCACCACGTGGGGGACCCAGCCAGGGGGACTGTCTCCTGGGGCCCTCACCAGACGCCTAAATTGTCAGTGCCTTCATCTTGGACTTCTCAGCCTCCAGAACGGTGAGAAGTAACTTTCCATTGGCTTGTTTATAAGCCACCCCGTCTATGGTATTTTGCTACAGCAGCTGGAAAGGACTAACGCAGGTCCTGTGTACCCCGCGAGCGCGGCACCCTTCTAAACGTCACCGGGCTGAACTCATTGAACATTCACTGTCGTCTACGAAGTAGGCACCACTCTGCACCGTCGTGGTTGTTTCCCTCTGAGGTCGCCGAGGCACAGAGAAGCTAAATAACTGGCCTAACTCTTTAAGAGGGTCGCCAGGACTCTGGAACCCAGGCGGTCTGGCTGCAGAACCGTCCCTGCTCTCAGCGTCCGGCGGGAACACATTATAGGAGCCAAAGCTGCAGTCCCGCGGCCGGAGCCAGGGCGGGCCGGCGCGAGGGCCCCGCGGGTCACCTGCGGTTGACCTGGAACTGCTCGATAGAGGCCTCGAGGCTCTCGAGGATCCTCCAGCACTCCTCCGTCGCGGGCGCGTCGCCCCAGCTCGCCATCCGAGCCCGGACGCGCGCTCCCGCCGAGCCGCGCGCTGCGGAGTCGGAGTCCGGGGCCGGCGTCCGTTGCCATGGCGACTCCCGGGGAACCCGCAAGCGCGGGAATCCGGGCCGGGGGCGGGGTGGCAGGGGGACGGTGCGGCGGGTTCCGGGGCCACGTTCCCGGGCCCTCCTGGCTTCCTCCTCTCCCCACGCTCTGAGCTCAGCCCACTTTGGGGGCCCGTGCACTTTTGGGGCTCAGATTCCCGTGCTTCTCTCTTCCCACA